TTATTACATTGTTTTTATCAGCTAAAGTAAAACTGTCTTATTATCAACTAAAATAAAAACTCCATTTTCACGGTAGTTTTTTCTCAGAATATAAGAAATTCGTTTCTGTTCCACCGATTATTATTTTTTCTCTGCTGAAATAAAACTGCCTTTTTATTGCCCCTTCCTCTTTTTTTTCACTCTCAGGCAAATAAAAGTCGTCTTTATGTTTAATTTATTTTCGTATTTTTTAATTAAAATAAAACTTCATTTCCTTTTATTCCTTCATGATTAAATTATCGGTACAACTCAATTAAAATTCTCTAAGACTATTTTCCCTTATATTATTTTCCCCTTTTGAACTTAAATAAAATCCCCTACTTTATTGTCCCTTTTGTTTATTTCCTTCTCAACTAAAATAAAACATCCTATTCTCTTCTCCCTTCCATTCTTTTTTTTTCCCTCTGCTAAAATAAAACTCACTTTTCCATTGTTCTCTCATATTTCTTTTCCTTCTATTCTCGACTGAAATATCGTTTTTTTTTCTTTTTTTTTCTTCTTTTTTTTTCCTCTCCGTCAGTGGGTTGTACCGCAGCCCACCTTCACACAGTCAGCTCGCTTGGAAAGAACTACACTTCACTGAATAGACCCACTATCCAAAGACCGCTTCTGAAAGACTTAAGAAATAATTGTGGTTTTTTTTTCACCCAGTTTTCCCCGTATGAGTTGACGTAGTTGGAATAATTGCTGTAATGCTGAATAAGATGTATGTGTGTTATGCCTCGTCTTTGTTTTGTACGTGTGTGTGTGTGTGTGTGTGTGTAGGGCCGCCATCTTGTTAAGGTCAAGTTAAATAGTGTTAAAGTCTTAACTACAGAGTCGTTCATTAAAATCGTAATCTATCTTATCGATACTGCACTAACCACAAAATCATCCATTATACCTTAATTATTTATTCTTTTATAACTGTAAATTGATTCAAAAGTCTCATCTACAAGTGTTTTTATGTTATTGTGTATCTAATTTAAATGTTTAGTGATTTATTGGCGCAGAATAAACATTAGTGACTCACCCGACAGTTGTACTATCGGGTTATACACATTAGTGACTCACCCGACAGTTGTACTATCGGGAGGGTGGCAACGAAGGAGGCAGCCAGACTACTGTAGATACTTGTTGCCACCACCATCGGGTTATTATACCTGTCGTAAGATGCACCTCTCACACCTGTCTCACCTTTCTCGGTTTTTAATTACTATCACTAGTGTAGTGAATTAATCTGGAAAACCTTGGTTGTTGAAGCACATTGTGATATTTTAGTTGTTGTTGTTTTCAGAGGCTTCCGGATATTTTAATCTTAATTACAACTTCATGCAAGGAAACAGTGAGTTGTAGGTAGTGTTGTATTGACCACAGTGTTATAAAACTTATGTCCTGGTGCTAAGGTTATAACGCACCGGGTCTTATCTTTCTCACGTTGATCTGCCGTCTGAGGTGATATGAACCCTCGCAGAAAAGTTCCATTGAGTTATTTTACGTAAATATCACAGCAGACAAAATAAGGGAAATAGTATTAAAATTAGAATCGTTTATTGGGGTGAAAAATATAAGTGAGAATTGTACACTAAATCGAGTCTTGTGAGTAATTGAACTTCCCTAATTAGGCATTTATGAACATACTGGAGAATGGGGATTGAAACTTGTGTATAATAATGAGAATTTAATCAAGGTATTTTTGTCTGTACATGGAAATAATTACGTACTGTAGATATTCATAGCAAACTATAAATTAATAGCTTCATTATTAACTAAACTAATGTAACCTGACTTAACCTAACTTTACTTAATCCAGTATAGTTTGGTTAGGTTACTATAATATATAGTGATTATATAGCATCTTATACCATCGTTACTATATATGAACAAATTATAGGTCAAAATAGTGGTTACATTATATATTCTAACATCATATAAAAATTCTATCAGTTAAAAGGATATACTAGTAAACTGTCTATCTAAAGATAAAATATTCCCCAAAAGCAAAAAGTGAACAAATTGAACTCCGTAAATACACAATGATAACTTTCTAACTGTTCTGGGAAATAAACAAATAAATTTTAGTATATACTGAACCTAACCTAACCTCACCACACTAAATAGCATTAGGGTGGTTAATCTTCAGGTGATCCTCATTTTTCTACCAAAGTTCCATTAATAAATAAAGAATATAGGCAGCTCAAGCAGACGCCAGAAGGAGAGTTGTTGAGTCTAGTGGTTAAAGACTTGTGTTATCATCTGGCTTTTACCACCACCAGGGGACCGTTCCTAGTTCCTAAGTCCCGTGGTTCCGTAGTCCCATGGTCCCATAGTCCCATAGTCCCATAGTTTCATAGTCCTTACTGATTAATGTACCTCAAGTCTTGTCACAACCTTAAACTGACACTGGAAGCCGAAGCGTTTAGTATCTATGTAAGGGATCAGAGACCTAGTTTGACATGTCAGATTATAGCAAACCTTCCATTATCAACCTCAACCATAGCCCATCCCTTTAACTATTCCTGTAACTATGTCTATGATTACTCTATATAACTTCTGTATAACTAACGAAGAGGAGAACCAGGGAAAACGCATAACCATATTTTTTAATATTGCATAACTATATCTATAACTATTTATAACTCTAACTACTGTATAATTCCACCTATAACACTTGCATGACTATTTCCATAACTATTTTATAACTATATTATAACTAGCTAATATATCTAACTTTATCAACCAACTTAATAGATATAATATATAACATTTGTTCTAATTATTTTACTCCTCACAAGGACACAAAGTCACTCAGAACAATACGGCACTGCAGAAGTTTACCCAAGTTTAAGAAGACGTAAGATCATATGAAGATTAGGCCCCCCAGCTTATGTCACTGAGATTAACCAACTTAACACTAACTTAACCTAATCCAAGAAAGTGTTTAATCAGGTAAAATAAGATAGGTGGCTAATCTTCAGGTGATCGGAATTATCTACAAAATACCCCAACTTAAGAAAAATCTCAAACTTTGATTAAATTAAAGATTCTATTAAATATGGACTACAGCATTTTGTAATTCATTCATCTAAGTGTGCCTGCTGTAACGAGTGGTTAAATTAACATACATAAGCTGTTTAAGAGTCTGTACCGGATGCTCAGTTACCAACACCCATGTTTTTTCAGGCATCTCACACTCCTCCAAGACCCAGCTCCCAGTCACAACCAACAGTGTGTCCGAGACTGACTTTCTCCCGTGCCGCTGTTCCTCTCGTGTACACCTTTACCTACAGCGGTGACCAGTGGGCCATCGGTAGGTATTAGTTATTCGTTGTATTAGTTTTATGTGTTTTAATTAGTATCTACATATAATTTTATCTTTTATATTAAGTTCGTTGTTTTAAAGTAGGATTTTATGATTATTTTTATTTGTTGAATGATAATAAAGTTATGTATTGTATTTTTGTGTTATAAATTGGGTTTATTTTTCATATGTTTTTGTTTTAGTTAGTTTTATTATTTTGGGTTTGATGTTAAAGACTAATGTATCGTTTAATTTAGAATACTGTACTCCCTTAAATATCTTATTATTATTGTTAAACCGTCCCTCGCTAACACATCAACCTCGCTAGAATGTTGAAGGCAATCTACAAGACTTAAGTACAACGCTTTAGTATTCTTAACGATAATATTTCTCTACGTTCGTTTATCATGTAGTTTACATATTTTTTTTTGTACAATCATCACAAAATAAAATCATGTCCGTTGTGAAGACTCTTAGCGGGAATGGTAAAGAGAATCAAGGACCGTCCGTGATGAGTTCTTTTCAATGTGTTCGACAAGTGTAAGTCAGAGCGGACATGGCGAAAAATTTAATTAAGTCCCAGAATATGATGGAGTACATAGCAGCGGTTTGGGGTGTGAAGCTTCTCCCCGAGGGTCCTGTAAACACAAATATCTCGGAATATTGTAAACACCCTGTAGTTATTTACAGCGGATTCCTTGTTACTTTTTTACAATATATTTCAGTAGTCTTGCTGGGGTAAACTTTAAATTTGGGTTAAGGAGCTACTCAATATATTTCTATTTACGTCTGTGTTAAGGCGCCAACTGTTTTAGTCACCACACGAGAGTTACTGAACCCGGGGTCTATGTTTAACTGTGTGCTTCTGTTTATATGTCTGAATAAAATATCTGAATCTGAATGTAATGTGCACTTTGCAATGTGCAATTCCAGAGGATATTGCCGACACTTACCTACAAAATACAGTGGTTATAAATCCCAATTGAAATACGTATCAAGACATAACTGCAAGTTTTAAATTGCTTTCATTTACAGTTTTCAACGTCTGAGTAGTGTGAGTGTAGCAGTACACTCGTTAAAGAAAACTTCAAGCAAGTGAAAATATCAAATAAAGTCAAGTAGTTTAATAATTACCATTGTTGTGATAATAAAGGTAGTTAACGCAGGTTGTTCGGTCGTTTACTACACTCTACAAAGTTATTGTTCGATACAAGTATAATCATTAGGCGCAATTGGAACTGGATATTTCACAAGTATTGTTATTGGTTCAGATAATCTGTGCAGGTCAGTACTTACTCGTGAACCACTGTATGAAATGATTTTGCAGCGACCGGAATTGAATTCGTTTATAGCGTTCTCGTGAACAACCAAACAAAAATATTTTGGTGGAGTTCCTGGGAGCCTGTGTGTTAGTTTCCATGGCGACATCTGCCAACTATTTAAATATGCTGTTTGGCTACCTAAGTCTGTGTAAACATGTACGCATTTAAATATCACTTATACCTACTGTATGTAAAGTAAGTTATCAAGTAAATAAACTAAGGTGTTTAAGAGGAAATATGAAAACTGGAACTGCAGCGACGGGGTAAAGAAGTAAGTTAAAAGTTTTAGTATGCTTGGTGAGTGGCCTCCTTGTAGACTCGGACTTGGAGAACCAATCAGCGTTTAGTGTACGTTTGGCAAGCGTGGGGAGTGGACGTACGCTGCAACTGTGTGTCCGCGCGCTGTGGTATTTACTTGCCTAAAATCTTCTGTTTATGTTAGTTAGTCTCTCATTGGTTTGATTGTGATAGCCAAGTGTTAAAGTGAAGCAAAGCAGTCTGTGTCAATGGCTGTTGATGTTGTATCTGATTGATAAGACCGGTGTCGGATTTTTTCTTACAAGAAGTTTAGTATCGCGTACGAACTTAGTAAGAACATCTGGTGAAGAGAGAGATTTTTATAATTTTATTAAGCATTTGGCATGAACGAGACATTTCTTCAGCTTTAACAATGGATTATGAAATGCGGTGAGTATTTAAATTTGTTTTGTTTACTTTTAGGTGCCATTTAAACGTCGATTAAAGTTTTCCTCGCACCACATGTGTTGAGAAAACTTGGTAGAAAGTTTTATATGCGTTCAATACGCATTCTGCTGACCTATCCCACGCTGTGTAACTATCCTCGTGTATTGTAAAGAGGATATTATTTAAAACGAAAAATTAGAAACGTATTTGTCGTTGTGTTAACATTTCCCTGGATCTTAGTCATTTAATCCAGCGCGCGAGACTTTAACTTGCGTATTTTGTTATCTTAATTTGTTTATAAGTTTACTGTAGGTGCGATGCAGTTGTAAGTGACGATGTTATCATGAACTTATACTTTGTTTTTATAAGGCGGTAACAAGATACTGGACACGTAATGAATTAACTAATAGCTTGTTAGTTTAAACAGGCTGGGAAAGGGTTGGTGCAGGCCACACACATTGCTGTTCAAGTTATTATTTACATCAGCAAATTACATAAATACATGGGGGTATACAGTTGTCAGTATTTGTGTGTTCAGGACATTGAAAATTGCACTCACGTGTCTCGAAGGTAAACTCTATACAGGTACTTAGATCATTTAAGGGAGTGTTGAACTACTGTCAGGTGTTTTCATTCGTTACTCTAATTAACAAGGTATGCAAGTCCTGAAGTAGGATGTATTAAATTTGTGAATGTCAGTCTGCCTCTCAAGTGATTTTGTACTAACTAATGGAACCACGATCGATGCTTGGAGGGTCTTGATCACTAATTACAGGTGTGTAGGCTCGTAACACTTAACAATGACTATTTGAGGAATAAACACAAGCAGGTAGATGTGTTGAAGGTAAAGTATACTAATTAATCGATCAGTTATTAATTACCCAGTCTCCCCCTTTCACGAGGTTGTCCAGCCTACCCCATGTACACTAACGCCATGTTTAGAAGTCATTAAGTGTTGGTTGATCTTTTTTTAATTGATTGTCATCAGTCTTTTTGTCCCGCGACTGCTGGAAGGCAACAGTTTAATGTATGTGGTCACTGATAGGAAAATAAATGTGTTACTGATGTGTGTATCTGGATGTGGATATTAGGAGAAAAGGGATTAAAATTAGTCGTGGTGTATGACGAGAGGTTCTTTGTCCTATCTGCTGTTTACAATCACACACTGATTCTGTAAAGTGTTTCGGGACTGTTGTGAGAGTGTTAGTTACTGTAGTTTTGTATTCCTGAGGTGCTACGAGAGCGCTTCATCACATCGTACAGGACGCTCACAGTGTTTGGTAGTGAATGGCTTGATAGAGTAACGAGGATGTGTTGAATTTTAGTTTTCAAAATCTTATGTTAAGTCTACGCCACGGTATCATGTAAGACTTTACTCTGTGATAAAGCTCGTAAACATTTCTTGGTTTAATTTCAACAGTGGGTGTAGTTGACTTGGGTGAGGAAACTGTGGCAGTGTGTGGCCGGCTGTTACCTCGGTGTTTGGGGAGGGCGGGGAACGTGAAATAAACACTATAATATAATTATACACGAGGAAATCATGTTAGCTTTTCCTAATGGGCCAGCTGAGAGCGAGGTGAGAGAGGGTGATCGTTCCCCTAATATAATTTCGCCGTCATCTACTTCTTCTGGGTGTTGCTTCTTCATGATCACGGGGTTCCCATCTTCGCTTTGATGTATTACAGCTTTCATTCCACAAAAAATCGCGCACGCAAGGCTATTTTATGACGTTCTTTTTTTCATTTTCATTCTGGAATTTTTCAAGTTGACAGACCGACATATAAGATTTTCTGGATGAGTTTAATCAAGCCAGTGTGATCACGAAGTGTGTAGTTGGTGATCATAGCTTATGCTGAAACGCCGAAAATCATGCCCCGTGTTGCTCTATAAAAAAGGATGAAAATTCTAGTTTGTAAAGTTCTCGCCCCAGTAATTTCAAGTGAGGAGGTTGGGTAGGTAGGTTAGAGGTGGTGGCTGGCAGCTTGTACTCAATTTTGAATCCTATTAATTTTCTGGGAAGGAAAGAATCGTGTTTTTAGTTTCATATCCGTTGCTTGAAGGTTCTACGAAACAATAATTTTCTTTACGTTATTATTAAATATTAATATTTTATACTAAACATCTTTATATACCGGTATATATTTTTTTCTTTTGAGCTTATCCTATGAATAATTATGAATTATGTTAGGTCACGTACATTGCTAAATAAAAAAAATCTTAAAATCTGTGGGTGGAAGTTAGGTTTTGCAGCGGTTGTTGTGGTTGTTTGCTGAATATCGTTGTACCCGAAAATACCATTTAATAAAATAAAGAGAGACTTACTCGGTGTTAAACTGTTTAGAATTACGTCTGAACAAATCTGGCGTCGGTCAAGTTAGTTAGCGGTGTAATCCTGTGGTGAGCTCCAAGGGTTTTCTCTTGCCCGGCTTATTATCGTTTTGGTACCAGTGCTCCCCGCTTCTTGTAGATGGCCAACGTAAAGACTTCACTACAAGTTTCGCTCCTTAAGAACCTCCCCATGATGTTCTCAGATACTTATGTTAGTGACTTGCTGTGGAGGTGTTGGTAGTATGTTCTTTGCTTGTGCCTATGACACCTCAATTTTTCACTGGAGTTAATCTTGCAAGGAATTATGTTCTAGACTGTAAACCAAGCCTCTAATTTTTTTCTTTGGTCTTCGTTCCCATCCCCAAGAGCCTTAATGTTTTTAGTCTCTCCCACTTCTGGAAATTTATATTATGATTAATCGAATTGCTTTGGACTTTAAATTCCTGCCATACGTTTTCTAGCTCGACAGTTTCACCAATATCACAAGTTATCCAGCTAAGGAAGTACAAGAGCTAGGAGCAGTATTATCGTTGTCTGATGTATAGTTTTATTTTGAAAGGTTGTCTGCATTGTCCTGTCATCTCCCTCGCCTATGGCTTACCAATAGCTAATTACTCTGTTGTGTGAACCGATGTAGGATCACCCGAATCAGCTCCCGGGAGTTCACTTGTCTATTCTGTGGTGTTGGAGTGTAAATTTATCCTTTTAAACACAGAGATTCTAAATCCATGCACTTACAGTTTGATATTCAGGGCAGGTGAGTGCACTTGCATCCGTCGGTTTTATAATCAGAGAAAATATGCGTGGAAGTTTACTGTTTCAAATCTGTGTTTTATTGTATTACTTGTGGAGGAATAAGCCTAACAGTCACTAATTTCTCCGTTTATATGGATTATATGTTATATCCTGAGTAACTGTAGAGGAGTTCCCATATAAGTCAGTCAGGTTACAGTGGATGAGTAAGCCATTTGTAAACGCAGCCTGAAAGACGCCAAGAAATCCCGGCCACAACGTTAATAAAGGTGACTTTCCCAGTAGGCAACTTGGGTCTCTGTACAGCCCGGGATTGAGCGACTCCCCATAGTGAGTAAGAGAGGCCTAACCCTTAACGGAGGCGTCTCCCAGTGAGAAAGTCAGGCCATCTACCCAAACGTTGCCGCCCTCCCTGTTTACTGGGGTCCTGCTGTGGCTCAACTCACCCACATCAAAACGATTCACCACATTTCGTGCATAACAACCACGCTCAATAGGCCAGCTGTTGAAATGTATTTATTCCCTTTATTTACAAATAACGTTTCAGGCAGGGGTCCAGGATTGACTAAATCATTATTAACGACAGACAGACAGACAGACAGACAGACAGACACCAAGGTTGACTTAGGTTTGGTTGTTTTGTTCTGTCCGTCGTGATCAGATCTGCCTCCAGACATTAAATCCTTGCTACGGTTAATTTCCTTTCTCCAGTGGTGGTCGGTGGGTTCTAAACAAAGGAAGTTATATCATTGGTCGTTTACGTCGCAGGTAAGACCGAAATCGTAAATGGTGTCGTTCGTGTGTTGGATTAAATTGGACTTACATTACTGATGGAGACGTCGTTATTACCGGCAGGACAAACATGCCATTTAGCAAACCAAAACAACACACCCCGATTGTAACGTAACTCACATCTCAATATTGTAATACATTTGTCACATTATCTTTCTTTCACTTTTACTGAGCGACATTATCTTACATATCACTGGACAAGGACCTTTGCCCTCGCCTACAAACCTTTAATAAGATTATTATAACCATAAAGATCTCTGCGAACATATAATCACTTATAGGAGTGTAATTATCGTTCTTTGTGAAATATTACTAATGGTTAATGTTAACGGGATTTGTCTTCAGAATGGGTTAATGACGCAATGTTCGTTGCTTTGTTGTTATTGGAGAAATGAAAAAAAAACATTTGCTATTTTGTAAATAGTGAGCGGCTCCGGCAGCTATAAGTAGAAGTCTGAGAAGCCACACATCAGCTTTAAACTTGAGCATAGACCAGCTGGTGCGCTCTACCCTAACATGCTGTGTGTGTATGCATATGTGCGCTCATCCTCCTGGAATGACGCGCGCATTCGTGGAAAACACACGCATATGTCCGATTACATACATGCACATACTTAAATACGAGCACATGCCTGCGGTACTCACGCACACACACACTGACCGTGGGGTGGGGGGTGGACCACTACCAGTGTCAGTATACCACGTGCACACATACTTCCATACATAAATGCGAACAACACACACGCACATACACATTGTGGAAGGGTTAGGCCAGGTGGTGGTGTGAGCCGCTACTAGCAGCTCGATGCCGCAGGCGCAGCTGTAAAGGTGATGGTGAGCCCTGGGTCATGGAGGTTAGCCAGGCTCAGGGGGTGATTATCCAGGGCGCGGGCGTCATTGCGGGGCCCCGCTCCCCACCCCATGATGTCTCGCTCCTTAGGAATTATCACATTTTGTTGATAGCATTTTGTTAGCCTGGTGTGGGACCACGGAAACTTTGTGCGACTCGACTTAATGAGGTTAGGTAAAACAACAAAATAAATAGGTTTGTTAGGTTTTAGAAATATTTTTGTGGACTTCACCTTCTGGTGTAACTTCACCATAACTCCTGCTTGATCTTAGTGGCTATA